TTCTCCCGCAGGTGTGTAATTATTTTGCAAAATGTACTGAATGTGTTGCTTGATATATTATTTTAAAACCATATTTATAAAATCGTTACAACAGTGTTAGTGTTTAATGCCAATTCATCATACTTGGCTTCGTTGTACAGTACTCTCCATTTCTCGATGATCTTTATTTCGATATTCCTTCCTATCTGAATCGTTTCAGCAACCCTGATCAGTGCTGCAAAATCTCGACAATACACGGTGATATTGACAATTTTGCTTTGGTCACTCATTTGAGCTAACAGTCACAGTCCACGATGGGAAATACATAGGTGCCACAGTCGGAAGAAGTGTTAGTTTGTTTACATAAATGAACCATGCCCATTTTGTTATGGCATGTTTGCTATAAGAAATGCGCCTCGTGTTTATTAGCGAATTTCACATCAAAGATTAATTAATTGAGTAGGAAATCAGTTTGGCACGGCATTTGTGACCAGCATACACCTTCCGGTAGTATAAAACAGGTCAAAAACTGTTCAAATCCGCAGATAAAAATTTTTGTTTTGAATTTCTGTATAGCAAAATAGTGAACTTTTCGTGAACATTAACGGCAAAGAACTCACCAACACTGGGAGACTGTGAGTTCCTGCCCACCTGTCATTTACCATCGTGGTCACAGTCAAGGCAAGCCATGTCAATTCAAGCTGAACATTGCATTAGGTCCTAAGCAGGGTTGCTTCCACTCACTTGCTATAAAAAAATGTTTTTCGGGATAATGAAACCATTAGATGATATAATGATATGTTGTACTTGCAAGTAACAAGAAGAGGGTGAAAAGTGTGTGTTTGACTCATAAAACCTGTCAATTTCGCTTTCAGAGCGTCACAATCAGCGATCTTATGACTCGTGAGCGTTCACTCAGAGTGAGCGCTCACGAATCGTAAAATCGCTTATTGTGACGCACTGAAAGCAATACTGACAGGTTTTATGTGTCAAATACATATTTCACGACCCTTTCTTTTAACCTTCAAGTAGTAATAACAATTATAACATCTAATGATTTCATAATTCCGAAAAACAATTTTTTATAGCAAGTGAGTGGAAGCAACCCTGGTCCTAAGTAACATTGACAGATTCTCTTCGTCGACTTTCTCTTTGTATTCCCACGGCCATGTAAATATATTCTCAGGTATTTTCGACACACAGATCGATAAAAGAAGCTTTTATCTAGCATCTAATACGACAAACACAACAAGAAACAGTTATGTACTCAAGTTATTAACGAAAGAGAAAGTCAACGAAGAGAATCGTTCAATGTTACTTACGACCTAATGCAATGTCCAGCTTGAATTGTCAATGAACATTTCAAATGGTCCTATCTGCGTTGATCGATTCTCTTCATCGACTTTCTCTTTTGATAATCACTGCTATGCAAACAAATTTCGCGCTAATTTTACCGCATAGCTTGAAAACGTCCAAAACATCAAATACAACAGGAAAAGGTTTTGCAGCTGCGTTATTAACTAAAGAGAAAGTCGATTAAGAGAATCGATGAATGCAGATAGGACCTTTTGAAATGTTTATCTATAATTGTCAATGACAATGCTGTCAGTGACGATCATGTATAGATTTTTTTTTTATTAAATACATTTGTAACAAAATTAGATGACTTGAGTAACACAATAACATGGAGCCGTTAAATTTAACGTCATGAACTACTTGGATAACAATAATGTGACACAGAATGAACGAAATTACACTTTTTGTTACCAGATGAATCTTGGTCATTGACGAAAAAATGAATGATATTTGCCGAAGGTTTTTTTGAGAATCAAGTCTGTCAGTGACTATGTGATGAACAATATTGTCAATATCACGCGAAAGTGTGCCAATGACAATGAAAAATCTCAGCATTGAGCCTGATCCTGATTCATCAACACTTTTTGAGCACGAAATGTATTAATAAGCTTATAAATCGATCTTTTGATTGTCGATTTCTCCATATTTAGGTGGTGGAAAGTTAAACCTCTCACTAAGATGTGCTCGTCCCCACCTCGCCCCCGCTGCTGGCGTGCAAAAGAACCAGTACTAAGTAAGTAACGGATTTCCACACTACATGGCATATAAGATCGACTCAAATTTAAGCTTAAATTACTCAAACTCTAGAAAACGTAGTTTACTTGTAGACTGAGTAAAATTTTCCGAGCCTCATAAATCTTTATGAATATGACAAAAATCGACGAAAAATATACTCATTCTAGAAGTATACACTCAAAGAATAAATCAAATATTCAATGGAAAATATTCATTAGAATTTCACATAACCTTCATGTGATATCATAATTGGGAATTGCGCCACAAAATCACATGAACCGTATATGTCAAATTAAATTTAAGTGATTTATCATATAGAACTCATGTGATCACATGACTGTTATATGAAATTCAGATAGATATCATTGGTTCTGTTAATGGAAAAAATGTAATGCGCATTCCCAATGGAAACTACATGAAAACGTTTTTCCGTGTACTAATAATAATATGAAATCGAGATGTTGCTCATAATAGAAAACAAATTCCTCTTAAATCACGTAAAGTTTTACTCAGTCTATGAGTTAACTACGTTTTCAAGAATATGAGCAGTGTTGGCAAAATCATCAATCAAATAATATTTTTCCGGTCTTATACGCTCTCAATATCACGCGTGATATTGGATCAAAATATCATGCTTGGTACTGATTTAACAAGCTCCTTCGATATTGCGAGACTATTCACAGCATGCAAAAATCAAGCTGAGAGTTGACTCGACACAAACATGATTCCGTTGCACATCGTTTTCTTAGAAAGAGAAAGCATAGTTTGCTATCTCTTTTTAATCTTCACCGATGGCAGACACGAAGAGACTGCTGCAAGGCGTTATGGAAGATTCGGTTGCGTTCGGGTGTAAAGCAAAAATCATTAAACTCAATCTCACCACAGTTTGGTGAGATTTGCAGTTGGTCAAACCCCTAGGATTTATTGATCTAGATAAAAATAATTTGTCCAGAATAGATCAGACACGAACCAATTCATAACTTTTGCATGCTAAATATTTTCCGCGAACAGGGAGCCAGATGTCAGTAGTGTTCTTTGGTTAGAAATTTTATCGTTTTTGCCATTCATGTCGGTTTGTCGGTGGTCAAACCTTGTATTTTTTCAACAAGCACATGCACTGAAACAAATCGACATGTACGGTTTTATTGGATCCATTTTATAACACAGCAATGTCAGAAGATTTATTCATTCTATGTGATGATTGATAGATTCCGTTGGATTATCAGTTAAAAACTAAAACTGCGATATGGAATGATTTCTATCGTAATTTCACATACTTAGCACATGACATTCCCTTGCTTCTGACGTGGTTAGCGATGGGTAAGATGGATGAATATTGTCTGATATATTTTATAGTGAAACCCTGTTTATATGTCATGGGTGGGAACGGACATCTGTAGAAACTAATGGAAATTCATATAAGTTTGCACTATACTGCCTATAATCGCATATCAGTCCCATATGGAAAAAGTAGGCATTGAGAAAATGGCAGTCGAAGTTACGAAGTGCAATTCTCATGTAAATATTTGAAAAATCATAGTAAATTTATTGATATTTTTTTCAAGTTAAAATCTGTCACAATGAAGCTTGCATGTTCTGTTATATCAACGAAAAATATGGCAATTCGAAAAGCAGAACTTTAACTTGAACTATGGACGATTGAATTTCAGGATGGGACTGATATGCGATTACTTTGCTTGATGGGACAAACTGACTTGATGTTGTTTTCATATTTTTCATGATCTAAGTCCATAGTTTTATCACATAATATGAAAGTAGATGCCAATTGATAGTGGATATCGTTGTTATCTCGAAATTAACGAAAATCCATATGGGACTGATATGCGGTTATAGGCAGTATAAGCAAATCTAGTAAAACAAACCTGTTTTCGTGATGAATATTGCTCACTAAAAGATATATCTTATATGACAGTCATGTATATTTTATTGGAGTCGCTTTTAACGATTTTTGACATTTGTTGATGTTTCGCGTGTAAACAGACATGTAGAAAGTATTGGACAGTCATTTAAGTTTGCACTATAGGAAAACATTTATATCGCATTGGAATAGCTTCCGACAATTTTTGAAGTTTGTAGATTGTTGATAGATCCATGCCAATCATTAGATAGTCATATAGATTTGCCTTTTAAGGAATCCAACAGCAAACATTTGTTTTGGCATGGTTTTTGGGATGAATATCGCTCCCAATAAAATCCATATTATATTATTGTTCTGCAAACATTATTGAAAAAAAAAAATTCAACGATGTTATCGTACACTCATTGAACATGATTGTTAGTCGAACTAAATACTACTTACAACAATGATACTTATAATCTTTACTTGTTATTGGCCCATAAGATAAGGGTTTCCAGAAGAGAGTATTGAAATTGAAAAAAAAAATCTACTGCAATATTCATCAGATCAGAAGATCATAAAAAAGTTACCTATCAGCATTGGAAATGTATCAGATATTCATATAAAATTGTCCTGATAGATTTTCAATCATATCGATTTCATTTGATTTTCTTATAGCGCAAATTTATTAAACTTCCACATAACAGGAAAATGTCATATTGGTTCAGTTTGGAAAGGAATACATACTTGTTTTAATTTAAGTTCAAATGCAATTAATACAAAACAAAATGTGTTGTCAAACTATGAATTGAATTATTTGAGTGTTCTGAGCCATCAATCTTCAGGTGTACAGCTTACAATCGCATAACTGTCCCGTATACATAGAAAATCAAACAAATATGGGACTGATATGCAACAATGGACAATCTATCAACCAAGACACCTCACCGACGCTATCGCAATTCGCCACACCTCATCCCCAAAGCGATTCCCACCTATAATAGAGCATAGATATTCAAGCAGCTATCCCAATGGGGGCATTCTTTCCATTGAAACGCCGACAACCGATCCGTTCCTTGATAGGATCAAAATATATCACCTGCATCTTCTGCAAATATTTCTTCTTTTTTTTTGTGAAAAAATAGCGACAGATCATCTGCGTTAAAATTCACCGCTGTAGCGTTATACACTAGCAACGTGACCGCTTTTGTCTACTTCCTAAATCAGCTAACCTAAAGGATCCTTCCTATTCGAAGGCGGGCAGTCCAAAGAGCTCCGGTTTAAACTCCTCCAGCGAATTCAACACAACGGTGGCGTGCTTCCGTTGTTCTTCCTCTATGTGTGGATCCGGGACCATGACGACCTGCATTCCAGCGGACACTCCCGCCGTCACACCGTTCGGGGCATCCTCAAACACAAGGCACTGTTTGGATTAAGGAGATGAATCGTTATTGAATGAAAATAGGAAATCTAAGCTACAAACCTGTTCCGGTTTCGGATTATCGGGGAAGCGCGATGCGGCCACCAAGAATATATCCGGTGCCGGTTTTCCCTCTTTCACCTCTGCATCTGACGAGCCCATCACTTTGTGGTGGAAGAGATCGAATACTTCTTGGTGCTTTTCGGTTTTCACCTCAACGGAATCCGCTCCGGAACTGGTGGCCACTGCGATGGGAATGTTGTTCTGTTTCAGGTGTTTGATCAGACGTTCGGCACCTATTGATTGCGATAGGGGAAATTGGAAGCAGTCAGTAATTTGGATGCCTACAAGCATCGGTACAAAAGAAAATCATTCTAGCAATAACACAGAGAAAATCAATACTCGTAAAATCAGGACACAGGTTTCCATGTCCCCGATCCAGTACCTCTCATAAGAGGAGCGCCGGCGAGATCCACTAACTGTTTCTCACGGAACTTTTTCAAGAACTCATCCACTGTACAGGACAGCTTCAGGTCATTGACTATGATCGATACGGTTCTCTGCTCGGTCGTACCCATGACCTTCATGCGGGTGGCCCACGGGTAGGTCGAGTTGTACGATTTGATCAGATCCCGTAAAATGTTCTCGTAGATTTTCTCTGTATCTGTGGAAAAGAAGGAGAAAAGAAAAGAAAATCCGATTAGCTCGGTCGGTTCGGTGGCCGCGTCGTACCTGGCATCATTTTGCAGTTTCCCATCAGCTGGTTGATTTTCTCGGTCGAAATTTCAACGTACTCTTCCGGAGTGATCGGCAGATCCAGGGCCTTGACGATGGCAGCGGCGGCCGCTTCCCGCTGCAGGCCCATGATGGTCTGCTTGATTTCCCAGGTGTACACTTTCCCGTACGGTTCGGCGATGCACTGCGTCACTTCCGTGTAGAGGTTCTCGGTGTCTGCCCGGCCGATGGTATGACAGTTGTATAGCGATAACGCGGGGGGGGAGAGATTTGTACAAGCAATACGAATGATGGATGAATGAGGGACAACACTTATATCTTGGAGGAGGGTAATTTGGTTCAGGGCAGATTTTCACGTGCAATTTGCGTGATTCGAATGGCGTATAGGTCCGTTAGGTGCGTCCACTACATAGCAAAATGAAGAAAACCATCTGATAACATCTGAAGGGTGCACATGAATTGATGAGTGCCGGGGTGGTGAATATTAGGTAGGTAACAAGCACACATTGCATATCAAATCGACGATTTTTTTCTAATCTCAAGATAAGGTCCAATTGAATATGAAAATCGTGAGAAAAATAAGGAAGCCTTTAAAGGAAAAAAAAATCACAAGCCAAATTAGAACGAAACTCTACTGCTAAATAATAATCACGATACGACCAGCTTTGTCAGGAAGTTGCGGATTTCTTGATTTTATATTGTTTCGAGTTCGACTGTTTCATTCAGTCCATTAGAATTTTGTAAATTCAATTAAATAGTGTGCGGCACCATTTCGGCATATGTCACTTCTCTTCGGCACACCCCCCTTAAATCAGTTTTCCAACAACCCCGTACAATTTACTTTACAGCGCTCGTAATTTAACTCGTGAAATTGGATGCATCAATGTTATTAATTTATTTAAAGTTAAAGGAACTGGACCGAGTACTCGCGGTTGTCTCGAGGTTAGTGGAGATTTACAATTTTTTGGATGGGAAAAGCGAAGAAGGAGGTTTGAAATGTGGTTTACGATACAAATATTTAATTAATCCTAAAACATGAAATTATATTGCAAACAAACATACAAACTAAACACAAGGTTAATCAAACTTACAATCTAAGGTTAATATTCTTAAAGTAAACATAGATGAGTTTCATAAACTCCAGATCGCGTCTAGCCAAGATATCCCGAACTGGAACATTAGGTTGTCAACCTCGAGCCCGAAGGAAATCATAAAAATGTGATCTGATTCCAAGATACTCCGTACAAGACCAAAGGATGTGATCAGCGTCCTGGTAACCTTGTCCACATTCACAGAGATTGCTGTCTCCCAACCCCACGCGGAACAAGTGAGCGTTTAGACAATAGTGATTGGACATGAGACGAGACATCACGCGTATGAAGTCTCGACCCAAGTCCAACCCTTTGAACCATGCAAACTTCGACACCTTAGGGATAATTGAATGTAGCCATCGTCCCAAGCTCCCGTCACTCCATTGATGTTGCCAGCTAACGAGCGACTGCTGACGATAAATAGAGAAAAATCCACTATAGGCGATTTGTCATAATCACATTCTTCGCCAATAAGGAAATTTCTATCCATTTTCCCCAAAAGTTTTTTAACTTTCTCCGGAAGTATCTTCCAGCTTTCCTTACGGTGTCGTACTGCCTATAATCCCATATCAGTCCCACATGGAGAAAGTAGGCATTGAGAAAATGGCAGTCGAAGTTACGAAGGGCAATTTCCATGTAAATATTTGATAAATAATAGTAAATTAATTGATAATTTGTTCAAGTTAAAATCTGTTGCAATGAAGCTAGCATGTTTTATTATATCAGCGAAAAATATGGCAATTCACAAAAAGCAGACCTTTAACTTGAACTATGGGCGATTGAATTTCATTTTTTTTTTCCTTTGGTTTGTATTCCGTCGATCTTGTTTTCCGTGCTGAGCACCAATGCTACCGACGCCAGGAAGGCAGCTCCCACACCTGGACCCTACCCTATCGACCCATCAACTGAATGAACCGGGCACCAACGGCTTTACTGGGATTGAACCCTGGCCTGCTGGGGTGAGAGGTAATCACGCTTACCACTACACCACCGGCGCCGCTAAATTTCATTTAACTTTGAACATTCTTCTGACATCCTACTTCACGCTTCCCCGAGTATATGATAACAAAAGACTACCAGCTAAAACATGGACACAGCTGGGTGGCGTAGCCTGGGCAATGTTGCCAGTCCGGCAATAGCAAAGTGAAGAGGTGCGACGCGAACACTGGCGCGGTAACCATAGTACGGTGATAGAGGAAATGCTTCACCAAACCCGAGCGTCTGTCCACCATGGAGGTGCGGCTCAAAACGGCGTCTGTTCTCCATGTTAGGAGCGGCTGATCACCGTCCTAGTGCCAGCGTGGGACTCTAAACAGAGCTGTGCACGATGGTCCCCCGGCGAGACAGGGGGTTAGGGCAGGCCCAACAAGCCGCCCTGGAAAAAAAAAATCAAAGTTGCAAATACTGAAGAAAGAAATACGGATCGGAACAATCGGCACAGACCTACGCGACGAAATAAGGGCTACGATTGGAAACTCGGAACATGGAACTGCAAATCGCTCGGCTTCCCGGGTTGCGATAGGTTAATCTATGACGAACTTCAACCACTCAACTTCGAAGTCGTAGCACTGCAGGAACTTTGCTGAACGGGACAAAAGGTATGGAAAAGCGGGCATCGAGCGGCTACTTTCTACCAGAGCTGTGGCACCACCAACGAGCTGGGAACCGGCTTTGTAGTGCTGGGTAAGATGCGCCAACGCGTGATTGGTTGGCAGCCGATCAACGCGAGGATGTGCAAGTTGAGGATTAAGGGCCGTTTCTTCAACTACAGCATCATCAACGTGCACTGCCCATACGAAGGGAGACCCGACGACGAGAAAGAAGCGTTCTATGCGCAGCTGGAGCAGGTGTACGACGGCTGTTCGCAACGGGACGTCAAAATCGTCATCGGCGACATGAACGCTCAGGTAGAACGGGAGCCAATGTATAGACCGGCAATCGGGCCAAACAGCCTGCATGCCGTATCGAACGACAACGGCCAACGATGCGTGAACTTTGCAGCCTCTCGAGGAATGGTAGTTCGAAGTACCTTTTTCCCCCGCAAGGATATGCACAAAGCCACCTGGAGATCACCTGACCAACACGACATTATCAACGTCCGCATGTACCGCAGTGCGAACATAGATTCGGACCACTACCTAGTTGCAGTATGCATGCGCTCAAAACTCTCAATGGTGCATAACACACGTCGAAGTCGAACGCCGCGACCCAACATTGAGCAACTACGGGACGCCGGAGTTGCCCAGGACTACGCGCAGGAGCTGGAAGTTGCACTACCCACGGAAGAGTAGCTTGGCGCAGCTTCTCTTGAAGATGGCTGGAGGGAAATCCGTTCCGCCATAGGTAGTACTGCTGGAGGGAAATCCGTTCCGCCATAGGTAGTACTGCTGCAGCGGCACTAGGTACTGCAATCCCGGACCGAAGAAATGACTGGTTTGACGGCGAATGCAAACTGTTAGTAGAGGAGAAGAATGCAGCACGGGCGAGAATGCTGCAACACCGCACGAGATTGAATGTGGAGCGATACAGACAAACGCGGAACAGACAAAACTCGGTTTTCCGAAGGAAGAAGCGTCAGCAGGAAGACCGAGATCGCGAGGCGATGGAAAATCTGTACACCTCAACGGTGAAGCAGCAGAACACGAAGGTGGCACGGCAACATACCTTGGAGCACGCGCAGAAGACGACAGGCTACCGGCCCCTGATCTTCAAGAAGTTGAGGAGGAAATCGGTCGGCTGAAAAACAACAAAGCAACTGGTGTCTGTCTGTCTGTCTGTCTGTCTGTCTGTCTGTCTGTCTGTCTGTCTGTCTGTCTGTCTGTCTGTCTGTCTGTCTGTCTGTCTGTCTGTCTGTCTGTCTGTCTGTCTGTCTGTCTGTCTGTCTGTCTGTCTGTCTGTCTGTCTGTCTGTCTGTCTGTCTGTCTGTCTGTCTGTCTGTCTGTCTGTCTGTCTGTCTGTCTGTCTGTCTGTCTGTCTGTCTGTCTGTCTGTCTGTCTGTCTGTCTGTCTGTCTGTCTGTCTGTCTGTCTGTCTGTCTGTCTGTCTGTCTGTCTGTCTGTCTGTCTGTCTGTCTGTCTGTCTGTCTGTCTGTCTGTCTGTCTGTCTGTCTGTCTGTCTGTCTGTCTGTCTGTCTGTCTGTCTGTCTGTCTGTCTGTCTGTCTGTCTGTCTGTCTGTCTGTCTGTCTGTCTGTCTGTCTGTCTGTCTGTCTGTCTGTCTGTCTGTCTGTCTGTCTGTCTGTCTGTCTGTCTGTCTGTCTGTCTGTCTGTCTGTCTGTCTGTCTGTCTGTCTGTCTGTCTGTCTGTCTGTCTGTCTGTCTGTCTGTCTGTCTGTCTGTCTGTCTGTCTGTCTGTCTGTCTGTCTGTCTGTCTGTCTGTCTGTCTGTCTGTCTGTCTGTCTGTCTGTCTGTCTGTCTGTCTGTCTGTCTGTCTGTCTGTCTGTCTGTCTGTCTGTCTGTCTGTCTGTCTGTCTGTCTGTCTGTCTGTCTGTCTGTCTGTCTGTCTGTCTGTCTGTCTGTCTGTCTGTCTGTCTGTCTGTCTGTCTGTCTGTCTGTCTGTCTGTCTGTCTGTCTGTCTGTCTGTCTGTCTGTCTGTCTGTCTGTCTGTCTGTCTGTCTGTCTGTCTGTCTGTCTGTCTGTCTGTCTGTCTGTCTGTCTGTCTGTCTGTCTGTCTGTCTGTCTGTCTGTCTGTCTGTCTGTCTGTCTGTCTGTCTGTCTGTCTGTCTGTCTGTCTGTCTGTCTGTCTGTCTGTCTGTCTGTCTGTCTGTCTGTCTGTCTGTCTGTCTGTCTGTCTGTCTGTCTGTCTGTCTGTCTGTCTGTCTGTCTGTCTGTCTGTCTGTCTGTCTGTCTGTCTGTCTGTCTGTCTGTCTGTCTGTCTGTCTGTCTGTCTGTCTGTCTGTCTGTCTGTCTGTCTGTCTGTCTGTCTGTCTGTCTGTCTGTCTGTCTGTCTGTCTGTCTGTCTGTCTGTCTGTCTGTCTGTCTGTCTGTCTGTCTGTCTGTCTGTCTGTCTGTCTGTCTGTCTGTCTGTCTGTCTGTCTGTCTGTCTGTCTGTCTGTCTGTCTGTCTGTCTGTCTGTCTGTCTGTCTGTCTGTCTGTCTGTCTGTCTGTCTGTCTGTCTGTCTGTCTGTCTGTCTGTCTGTCTGTCTGTCTGTCTGTCTGTCTGTCTGTCTGTCTGTCTGTCTGTCTGTCTGTCTGTCTGTCTGTCTGTCTGTCTGTCTGTCTGTCTGTCTGTCTGTCTGTCTGTCTGTCTGTCTGTCTGTCTGTCTGTCTGTCTGTCTGTCTGTCTGTCTGTCTGTCTGTCTGTCTGTCTGTCTGTCTGTCTGTCTGTCTGTCTGTCTGTCTGTCTGTCTGTCTGTCTGTCTGTCTGTCTGTCTGTCTGTCTGTCTGTCTGTCTGTCTGTCTGTCTGTCTGTCTGTCTGTCTGTCTGTCTGTCTGTCTGTCTGTCTGTCTGTCTGTCTGTCTGTCTGTCTGTCTGTCTGTCTGTCTGTCTGTCTGTCTGTCTGTCTGTCTGTCTGTCTGTCTGTCTGTCTGTCTGTCTGTCTGTCTGTCTGTCTGTCTGTCTGTCTGTCTGTCTGTCTGTCTGTCTGTCTGTCTGTCTGTCTGTCTGTCTGTCTGTCTGTCTGTCTGTCTGTCTGTCTGTCTGTCTGTCTGTCTGTCTGTCTGTCTGTCTGTCTGTCTGTCTGTCTGTCTGTCTGTCTGTCTGTCTGTCTGTCTGTCTGTCTGTCTGTCTGTCTGTCTGTCTGTCTGTCTGTCTGTCTGTCTGTCTGACCCTTATAGACTGAACCGATTGGCGTGAAAATTTGTATACAGGGGTTTTTGGGGCCGTGGAAGGTTCTTATGATGGTTCGAGACCCCTCCCCCTTCTGTAAGGGGGGGCTCCCATACAAATGAAACAGAAATTTCTGCATACATAACTCGAGAACTAATCAAGCAAATGGAACCAAATTAGGCATGTGGGGGCGAGTGTGGGGATATAAGGAGATAATCATAGGGGGTAGCCCCTTAGATAATAGGGGGGGGGGTGGCTACGTACAATATAGCATGCTTTTTTTTTAATCGGCGCATAAACGAGCAAGACTGGGCACACTCAGCTAGTTATTAATAAATACGGTGTACGGTGATTAGCAAAATTGTCTTTACAAGCTTTTATAACGCAAGGGGAATATAAATCTCTGAGAATATTTAGCTAGAAAAAGTCAGAGTTAGGGCCAACTCTCCAGAAACGTCCGTTGTTTCCCTTGATACATCAATAGACACGGGTTGAAAAAGGGTGAACAGGAACGGATTGAATTTTCATCGCCTGGTGTTTTGTTGTAGCACAAAAGGATCATTGTTGAATGTGGCCTTTTATTTAGCTGTTCATCCAAGGTCCAAATTGGTTAGTTCAGGTCAGCTTCATTCTATTCTGAAATTTATATGAAGTTGGTCAATTAGCGATCTTCGAAGGGATGCAAGAACCACCACATCTCATTTGTTCATACTGGGATTGTCCAGAATCCCCCTTTAGATTGAGTGGATTGTTTGCAACCCCCCTGAACTGCCATGAATCCCCTTCAATATTGACTGAAATGCTACCTGGGATTGTCCGGAATCTCCCCTGGGATAGTCCATATGCCCTCTTTGGATTGACCGAAGTCCCCTTTGATACTGTTGGGATGCCGCACTGGGATTGTCTGAAATCCACCCTAGGCTTGTTCGGACTCTCTACTGAGACTGTCATAAATCCCCTCTGTGATTGACTGGAATCCTCCCAGGGATTGTACAGAATTCCCCTTGGGACTGTCATGGATCCTCCTTGGGATTGTCCATCAGAATCCGTACTATGCGGTTGCTAATGTTTGCAGTACTCGAACGTCATCGGCATGGCAGTAAAGCAAAAAAGCTATGACTGTTCCGTAAGGTCACCATAAATATCTTCCATCGATTTTGAGGGGGCAGCTTGCAGTTCTTCTCGTACACGTGCAATACGAAAGAGCAATTGCCGAAAGATCGTCCCGGTAAACATTGCAAGCGCATCGTTTAAAATGTTGTCGAAATATTTACGTAAATTTGTTTTGCTTGACAGTATCGGTTGCTATGTGTTGAGCAACGCGAGTTACTCAGAGTTACTCAAAAATAACTTCGATTTTACTCATGATCGGAAGCTGTCTTGCACTCTTGCCTCAAGATATAGACGTATGGTTCGAAATTCATCCGCAGAGATGGCGCTAAAATCAAACTTTTCTCTCTGCCATTTTAGCGACTTGACGTCTTTAGTGAAGCTGTTTATCTTAACAAATAAAAAACAAGTATTCTGAAAATGTCAGGGCCACCATTTATAATTCGAAATTTCCGAAATAATAGACTTCGGATATTTCGAATTATAAATTGTGCTATTTTATTGGCCATTTTCTACCAGCCCGTCAATTTCCGGCAAGCGCTTCCAATAATTTGATATAACGTACACGCAAAATTCAACATATTTGTAGTTTTGTGTCAAGTTCACCTCAATTGATCATAAAAAAACATAGGTGCAATATGCCAAAGTTGGCTAGTTTGTATGAAAATTGGCCTATTGTTCTATTTTAATGGCCATCACTGTAGCAACTTGCAAGAAATTTTGCTTGCAAGATGGACAGTTGCATACAATATATAGAATATTCCATGACATGTCTCATAAATTTACGCGATCTATAATGTAAACTTGTATGATACACTACTTACACAACTATTTTTAACTGTGTAGTAGACGCGTCATTGGAACGGTACTTATGGATATTTTTGGTCGCAATTGAAAATTTAGTCGATTGCTGAATTTATGTATGGGCCCAAATAAGGGGCCCGACATTTCCCCTATCTATTAAAAGCTAATTATGATTAAGTCTTAATAACGCGTCAACTCAGAAGAAGATAAAGTAATCAGTAACAATACCATTAATGTAATCTCAAAACGATTAGTTACTAGATACAAAAAATATAAATTGATATTGTTGAAATAATAATCAACTTATCTTCAATAAATGTTGATAATAATAAGCGACGAAATTATAATAATGATAATAGGGTTAGTGTCCATAAGGGCCCCTAATATTGGACCCTTACATAAATTTCGAAGGAATCTATTTTTTGCCATTTTTTTCGCTAGCAACCAAAAATTTCCAACATTGCCCACAGCGCATTGTTCTAAGAAAAATTGAAGAGCATGAGATTTGTATCGATGGGTCTAATTCTTAGGCCTACCGTGGAGGCACCATATTCGAAGCGGTTCCTAAATCAACGCACTCAATAATGTTCGACTATTTTCTATGTTTATTTTGAAATTTTACTTCTGCAAATATTAGTTCCTGTGCTCTAGGGATGATGGTGTTACAAAGTTTAAAAAAATATCTTGTCAAAATCGAAATGCGATGAAAATTAGACGAGTGCTTCATCACTAGGGACGCGTCAAATATGGTGCTGGCACGGTACATTAGAGCCATTTTGCCTATAATATATTTGATTTCAGGGTAAGTCAGAAAAACTTAGTAAACTAAAATAAATTCTACAAAAATTCAAATCGAAAAAAAAATTTGAATGCATACAGACTGCAACATGATTTGATGATAATATGTTAACATTGTTCATCTAATTTGCGTGTGACCGTTATTTTCTGGTTCACTGTACATCTGTTTTCTGGGTCAACCAGTAAAAAAAATGATGACCTCACTAAGATAATCTCTGTGTATATAAACGTTCAGCAGTTAACATAGGGATAATGTCCATAATTTCGGCATAAATTTAAAACCATTTGTTACTACACTGATCGTTCTACAGAAGCTAAAAAGTGATCTGATGAAATTTGATCAAAAATTAATCTTATTATTGATCTGAGCACTGAACAAAAATATTCCCCTATTCCAGGGAAGAACCATCAGCTATTTTTCGATTCCCGGGTCGTCAAAAATGGCAGGGAAATGGAAGTACTACTAACGATAGCCTAGCCAGTAAGTATTCAGCTCACAACAGCAGATTTACAGATGGAACGTAAAAGTCAATAGGAAGCAGAAGAACGGGATGTTTCTACATTTCGTTCTTTGAATTCTACGAACTTTTCGAGTGGCCCACCACCCGTATCCTGGAAACCACTGATCCACTAGTCTAGTTAGCACTTAATCACCATCCATTACAACACGATCACAATAATTTGCATCATCCACTTCCTCTTCGCCACCGGTACGGACGTACTTATCCTACAACCGCACCAACAACCAACTACAAATCGCGTGCTTTCTTATCAATATGTTTGCTATTTACCTTACGTTGCACACACATAAGAAAAGAAGACGGACCACGCTGTTTGTCACATTTTTATTTTATTTTTTGCGTTCTCACTCGCATCGCACCCAATAACCGCGATGCAACGATGCATCCTCCGATGATGGGTGCACGCGATATGCCAAGGTCAACAGAAACAAGCATGCATCCACTCAGAGTGGGAGGAGTTTTCCATTTTGCACTGGCATGAAATGTATGTAAGTCAGCTGTTGGATCAATAGTTGATTGATTATCGCTGCCGTTTAATACTTCACCGTTTAAAATAAGGAAATATAAGCAAGAAGCTGGGGGAAATGATAGGTCATGCATGAGATTTTCGCTCGAGGAAGGCACTACTGTTCCGTACAATCCACCAGGTGCAATAACGGGAAAATGCAACATAGCCAATTTAAAAGTAAAATTAATCAAACAAAATATCACTTACCAAGCAGCAGCCCATCCATGTCGAAGATGCAGTGCGTAACCTTCCGGAAGTTGCCAGCCATTTTGCTTCCACCCGCGCCGAGAACCGAACTAGTACTGAAGAGTCGACTCATCTTCGCTAGGAGCTGCTACTACTATGAAGTATATAGCCAGATAGGGAGAAGAGTGAAACAAAGTTAGTTGGTAATCACTCACTCACTACACACCCGTAAAGGCATTATTACTGGATGCAGAGTAGGACAACAATGACAAACCGAGCGAATTCGTCATCAAACGTCACCACATTTGTAAATAGCAGCGAGAGAGCGCGCGCACACAGTAGGCCATATGGTTTAGTAGACACGCTGCCGGTGGACGAAGGATCTCTGGCGTCGCCGGTGCCTACGCTGATTTGAATGTTGTTGACTTCCGCCAAGTTCATTGCGACTGAATATAATGGAAGCGCGTGCGTCTCCATTTAAAGGGGCTGATCCGGCGCTGATCGCATGCTGCCCGGACCTTATTTACCTTCTCCGAGTCTATGAGAACGTCGTCATCGTCGTCGATGCACAAATAGGATAATAATATGAAAATGTGGGAATGATTGAGGACAAAAGCATCTGGCCGCTGCCAGTCAATGCTATTCAACAAGCTTGCTTTGTTGCTATACCGTTACTTGCCTTGTTGACACGGGTCGTGGGAATTTGAAACATTGTACCGACCCTCTGAGTAATATGAACACAGTAATATGGATTCGACCCGTTGCCAGGCAAATGAATAATAGTGGGTTGCAAAAAAATCTATTAGATTTCATCATGATAGCTAGTTAAAATTTCAGGATTACTGCTGGAATTTACAATAATTATTGCTTGTAGCAAGTAACCGTACACACTTGATTTGCTAGACTTATCCATAAATACGCTATTTACAAAGAGAACGCATGATAGTTTGTATTTATATACAGTGTACACGGTAAGAAAAAAGTACCCAACGGCCAGTTCACTTTTACCTACTTTTGACTAGTTTGTCTCCTTTTCTCCTTCTAATGTTGTCAAAAACGGAGGAGCAAAACCACCCAACAGGGGTAGTAACGTGTGGGAACCCAACGTTGAGTATAATAATATTTACCTACTGTTGGGTACAACTAACTTACTTTTGCGTTGAAAGCTAGTGGAAAATTCCATACGAATTGCACACAAGTAAATGAAAACTATTTTGACCCGCTTTACCTATTTTTGGGTTCCTGCACTATAGTGCCGAGATGAGTGAAAAGAACTTACTTTTGGGTACTTTTTTCTAACCGTGTATAGTGTTTTGTTGTTTAAACGGTCTGATTTTGGCACGTGCCGTTTATTGGCCTTTTTCGTTGGCAACACCGGAGGAAAAGAAAATTATAATCGAATTTTTCAAACCGACAACATACAAAGTGTGTATTGCCACACTATGTGCAAAAATCGGGGTCAATCTGTCATGATTTGGGGTGGCGCAAAATCGTCAAAGTGTGAATTTTTTTCGTCTGAAAGATCTCCCAAGGGGATAAATGGTATTTCGGAAACCGCACAGCAAAAAAAAAAGTAATATCGATCAATGTAATTCAAGCTAATGTATGAAATAATGATGTAATAGCAAAAAGCAGATACAATAGTACATCAATGGATGTAATTTTGTTCGCAAAATCGATGTACATCGTACAACGTTATATTACACAACCGATGGATTGACCTGGTTGCAGCAGTTTGGATGTAATATTCAACAACTTTTTTTTCTGTGCGACAATTGTTTTTTGATGCCAAATGAACTAAATATTAATGAAACTTCGAGTACTAGTGTTAACTCGTTTTTTTTTGTGATAAATATATTTTTAGGGACTTAGGTTTTCTCCGAAATTTCACGAAAAAAAGTAAGTCCCAGAAAGTCAATTGTTGACAAAAGAGTTTTTTTTACAGATACCTAACACTAGATCTCGACGTTTCATGCATTTTTAGTGATTCGGCATCAACAAAAATGTTCAACTTCCGAAATTTCACCAAGTTTCAGAAAGTCGATTTTTGACAAAATATTTACAGCAGTCTGGTACGCTTTGGACGTTATAATACTTGCAGACCGGTTTGAATGTGTGAGTTTAAATTAGAAGAACATTTGTGATGTATGGGTGCCCAGAGTGTGCATTTCTCGCTGTGCACTTGGATATCTGATTGCAGGCAAAGAGAGTAATAGAGAAAGAGAGCGCAAAAGCCCGCTCTCACTCTCTTGTCAGTTGTGAATCTCTCCGATAGTTGCGCCGGTGCGCCTGTCAAAACTTATGAGCTTCCCCTGGTTCATTCAGATAGTGTTGTTCTGATGAATAAAGAGTTGATTAATTCAAGTTTACCGAGGCCTAGGGGCCTATGAATTTTCTCTAGATTTTGATCTTGTTTTGTATCAAAAAATGTTTTCGGAACTTTTTGACGGATATTCTTTATTACACTTCAGTCGAAAGAGTTAGCCTTGTGATAAAAACGAGAATTAAAGCTAAACATTGCATTAGGCCCTAAGTAACATTGACAGATTATCTCCGACGTCTTTCTCTTTGTATTTCCACGGCCATGTAAAGACATTCCTAGGTATTTTCAGCACACCGATCGATAAAAGAAGCTTTTATCGAGCTTCTAATACGACAAACACAACAAGAAATGGTTATGTGCTCAAGTTATTAACGAAATAGAAAGTCGACGAAGAGAATCGATCAATTTTATTTAGAACCTAATCGAAGACAACAAATCAAGAAGACTGGCAACTCTTCAATTTTCTCATACAAACGCTATGAGACAGGTACAATCGCGTCATCTGCTGCTCAAAGGTAAATGCTTCGAACGAATTTGATAGCAAAGATTACATCCTCAGAAGAAGGGTTTGTGTATTTGCTCATTTGTCTATGCGTTGCTTCCACCTTCACTCAAGTGCAGCGCTACTGTATCTGTCGCTTGGATTCTGGCAAAGTTGCCAGTCTTCTTGATTTGTTGTCTTCGATCTAATGCAATGTTCAGTTGGAATTAGTTAATTTTTGCAATTCCAAAGCAACTAGTGAAAAAAATGCATGAACGGGGGATGTTCCGGTTGCAAAACAATGCTTGGAAATGTGCATGATAGAGGATGCTAGTTTTTTTTTTTGTTAATTACTTTATTTGTACAGGCTCAATCGAATAAACTTTACAGAGCCGAGTTATCATTTTTGTTATACATTATTGATTTCTTATATATTTAAAGTTAAAGGAGCTGGACCGGATACTCGCGGTTGTCTCGAGGTTAGTGGGGATTTACAATTTTTTTTGGATGGGAAAAGGGAAAGGGAGGTTTGAAATGTGGTTTACGATACAAATATTTAATTAATCCTAAAACATGAACTAATTTCTATTCATCTTGAAAACAAACATAAAAAAACCCACACGTACAAAATACAAACTAAACACAAGGTTAATAAAACTTACAATCTAATGTTAATATTCTTAAAGTAAACATATATGAGTTTCATAAACTCCAGATCGCGTCTAGCCAAAATATCCCGAACTGGAACATTAGGTTGTCTACCTCGAGCCCGAAGGGAATCATAAAAATGTGATCTGACTCCACGATACTCCGCACAAGACCAAAGGATGTGATCAGCGTCCTGGTAACCTTGTCCACATTCACAGAGATTGCTGTCCTTCAGCCCAACACGGAACAAGTGAGCGTTTAACGAATAGTGATTGGACATGAGGCGAGACATCATACGAATGAAGTCTCGACCCACATCCAACCCCTTGAACCAAGAACTCTTCGACACCTTAGGGATGATCGAATATAGCCATCGTCCCAAACTCCCTTCACTCCACTTATTCTGCCAGCTGACGAGTGACTGTTGACGATAAATGAAGAAAAATTCATCGTAGGCGATTTGTCGATCGTAAATATCGCCTTCCATAGCGCCCACCTTAGCAAGTGAGTCAGCCATCTCATTGCCCGGAATCGAGCAATGAGATGGGACCCATGCAAAGGTGATGACAAAAGATCTTAAAGATAAAGCACTTAAAAGCTCTCGTATTTTCATGAGAAAATACGAGGAGTGCTTTACCGGCCTCATAGAGCGAATAGCCTCGACAGAGCTGAGACTATCCGTAAAAATAAAATAATGATCTGGTGCAAGTGAGGCGATCGTTTCTAGCGTATAATGTATTGCCGCCAGCTCAGCAACATATACGGAACAAGGAGCTTGAAGCATTCGAGAGGCGCTATGAAATTCGTTAAAAATACCAAAACCAGCGGACGGCTCTATTAGTGATCCATCTGTGAAGAACGATCTTGCGGAATCAACTTGGCCAAACTTTGCAGCGTAAATTGACGGAACAATCATGGAACGATGATGTTCTGGGATCCCATGAATCTCCCGCGTCATAGATAAATCAAAACTAACTGAATTGCCGAAGTCGGAGAAGCATACACGATGAGGATTATGCTGTGAAGGGCTGACATCCTGTGTTATGTACACGTAGTACAATGACATAAAACGAGTTTGAGGGTTCAGCTCAAGAAGCTTTTCAAAGTTTTCGATTACCAGTGGGTTCATAACTTCGCAACGGGTGAGGAGCCTGAGGGACAATTCCGAGAACCGATCCGATAGTGGCAACATGCCCGCCAACACTTCGAGACTCATCGTATGAGTCGAGTGCATGCATCCTAACGCGATACGAAGACAGCGATACTGGATACGTTCCAGTTTGATGATGTGAGTTTTAGCCGCCGACTGGAAACAAAAACTACCGTATTCTAAAACCGATAAAATCGTTGTCCGGTACAACGTTAGAAGATCTTGCGGATGGGCTCCCCACCACGTTCCGGTAATTGTTCGGAGAAAATTGATCCTTTGTTGGCATTTTCGTCTCAGATACTCAATGTGGGATCTCCAGGTGCATTTTGAATCGAACCAGACCCCAAGATATTTGAAGGACATAGAATGAGTGATCGGTTTACCCAAAAGTTGAAGCTTTGGTTGTGCTGGGCTATGCTTCCTAGAAAAAACGACCAACTCAGTTTTCTCCGTGGAGAATTCGATACCTAGCTGAATAGCCCAAGTAGACAAATTGTCTAAGGTATCCTGTAAGGGTCCTTGCAGGTCGACCCCTTTGGGCCCTGTCATAGA